GCACATAACAACAACAACTCAAGTGCTTAACAGCCCCAGTTGGTATGTACTGTTTCCTCATTTCAATTTGTGAAAAAAATTACTTGTTCACGATTACTCTAGTAATAAGTACCCTGGTGGAATCTGAAAACACATTCTATCTGATCCCACCATTTGTGCTTTCACTCTACACCATGCTGCCTCCACCAAGAAGACATCCAAGACTTATTCTTCTAAAACCCAAGGGAAGTGTGGATTCTTCAGGGATTTTTAGTAACTTGAAGGATTATGCAACATTCAGTTGCATAATCAATATTACTGTTAATATGAGTTAATAATACATAACTAATATTACTGCCCTAACTACCAAGGAGTTAGGTAGTTAGGATAGTAATATTTTTGGAAACTGCAAAACCAAAAATGTCAATATCATATAAACGTGGTAGAGAAGTAAGTCTATAAGTATGTAAAGATTGTTTTCAAACTTTAAGTCAAATGGGTGAGATGCAGAAGTGTATGGATAGGGTAAAAACTAAAGGGGATTCACAGAATACCAGCTTTGATAGCTTTCAATAAAATCTTTTAAGTAAGACCCTTTCTATGCATGCTATACATAGAGAAGCCAATGAAGGCAGAGGTCAAACCTGGGAATCACTAGCAAGAGAAAATAAAGAGTAAAGATATCAGATTGAAGTTATGCCTTCAATCTAGTATTCCAATTCATTTAAATGATATAAAAAGAGAAAGAACATGCTCAGAAGATGTCTTCTGATTCATTTTTCAGTCCAATTTCACTTAAACTAGGTTACAAAGGTAGGAGCTATAGGAAAGTGTGAGTAAGATGTTTCAAACAACCAAATAAATCTCTCCTTGTTCATATTAAAAAGAAAAAAAAATCTGGGCTTTCTTCTTGACCAAGATTCTTGGTTGAACCAATGAACAGTTTTCTGCAAAGGAAATCTACAACAAAAACATAACCCTACTAAAGAACTTAATTGAAACTTTAAATCATTTTGTGATCAACTTTTAAAACAAAATATTTTCCCAAAAGATTACTGTTTTCTGCTGTTATAGAGTAAACTAAAACTAAATTTCGTTTTATTCAAAAACTCTGTTTTTTCCATGTAAAGTACTTTTATTTGGAATTCAGAGGAATAAAAATTAGTCACTTCATCTAGCCATCCAAAAAAGCATTCATAAGAGTAATTCTTTTCTAAAGTAAATAAGTGAGTTATAATTTGTTAATTAAGACTACCCACTACTACAAACTGATCTTTTCCATCGTATAATGGTCAATGCCCAAATTAAAACACTTTCCTGCCTCATGTTCTCTTACCATGTGCTACAGCAATGTTTTCTCAATGGCCCATAACTCTATCCATGGTAAGCCCAACAAGGTAAGCCCATATCTACAGAGGCCATTGACTATTGCAAAACATGTAGGAGAAGAAAATGAGAAAGAGCAGTAGCAGAGAGAAAAGTTAAAGGAGAGTTGAAATCGGATTTCTACCAGCACAAAATGACTATATTGTGTACAAACTGTCTCCTCCTACTTCTACACTTCCTTTCTCTTTAGAGGAAATAGACTAACCACTCCATTTGTGCCGTTACCTGGATGAGTTCGTCCAGTTCTGTTGAGTTGACACACGAGTGTTCGGATATGAATGTTTGCTTCTGGATCACAATGGTGGTCCTCTGTGAAATTTCATGAGGCTGTTCCAATGCTTTGAACACAGTGGCTCCAATGATTAGATAGAGGACAACCACCAGGAAAATCGTGGAGACTGTCTTCCATTTCATAACATTAATGGTCGTGTCACTCTCCACCCGGGAAGCAAGTACTGTAGGTTTTGTGGAAAACGAGAGCCTTGGTTTGGAGTTTTGAGTGGCAGATTTAGGATCCAGCAAGTCAGGTGCCGCCACTGAGAACAAAAGAGAAAGAGAGTTAGGTTGGAGGAAATTAGAGAAATACTGGTTGAAGGTCAGCAAAGGTTGCCTTAACCCCACTTGTTCTCCTGAGTGAAGCTCTAGACTCTAAACTAGCTCTTTCTCAACCTCATTTAAGACCCCATATATGGAGTAAAGGGAAAAGGGGGCTGGGACTTCACTCTCTGCTGCTATTGGGGTTCCAGATGGAAAGGAGAAAGCAGGAGGCGGACCAAGAGACAAACACAAAATGCCTGAGGTTTACCAAATTAATTTCTTAAAAAAATGGCTCATTCTTTTTTTTTCTGTCATCTAAGGTAGTCAACAAACTTACCAAACCCCTAAGAGTTGATTATACTAACCTAGATATTTGAATACTCATGAAGATTCGCCATGGTTTGTCTTGTTCTCAAGAACTTTACACTTTACACAAGCAACCAGTATAAAGAACTTTTAGCTATTTTTGTTTAAAAATTCATTCCAGTAAGTATATCAGTAATGCCAATATTGTTGTGTAAAGGAAATCACTAGTAATTTCTGATGAGGCAAGATGAGAAATACACCCAGTCTTTTTTTTTTGCTTATTCTCCACAGTGGGCTCATGGTTAAGCTTTCATTGTATTTCACTATCCAATTTCTGATCTGTTAAAAAAAAAACTAGAAGTTATTGCTACTCATTGTAACACAAACCTAGGTACAGCCAAAAAAAAGGTAAGTCCTTCCTTCTCAACAGTAAACAGTTATCAAGAAAGTAAAACTCTGAGCCTTAGCTCACACCTTAAAACCTACATGCTCTGTACAAAGCCTACAAATTGCTCCATTAAGAAAGGCTTTCTGTGTCCTCTTACAAATTCCCATATACTCGGAGGTGATCTGAAATCCATTTATTATTCATCTCAGCTGCTCAAAAATATCATTAATGGGATTTTTTTTAGAAAGTGCAAGAGATGCCAGACTCCCACTTGTTAAGGAGAAAATAATCCAAATATTCTATGGCAATGACAATAATTGAACCGAAAGGGTTAACAACACGGCCAAAATCAAGGCTGTTAAAAAAAATTACCAGCTCAACCAAGTGTAGTCAATTTAAAGACCATATGGCACTACAGGACAAGCATGGGACAGCCAGCTACAAGAGGGGCAATGAACCATAATGGGGCATTGTGCTATTAGGGTTCTCTCTGTGGTGCTGCAGGATAAGCACTGGAATTTGAACCACAAGGTTGGTGGTTCAAACCCACCAGCCACTCTTTGGAAACCCTATGCAGGGTTGCTATGAGTCAGATCCGATTCCACAGCACTTAACAACAGTAACAACAACTGCTATGGATAGAAATCAAATTATTACTGTAGCATATATCATATGTAGTTGCTGTTGTTTTTAAGTGTTGTTGAGACAGTTCTGACACATAGGGACCCTGTATAAGGTTTCCTAAGAGCAGCTGGTGAGTTTGAACAGCCCACCAAGTGGTTCAAACCAACCGTGTGGTCTACTAGCGCATTATTCTACAATGCCACAGCAGGACTCCAGCATATATAATATAGAATGATAACCTAATACAAAAGACACTGTTAGATAATGTAAGAATAGAATTGCACGCAAATACCCAACACCACCTGGTGTGGTGCTGTGGGTTAATGCGCCAGACTGCAAAGCCATTTGAATTGCAAGCTAGGTGGTTCAAGCTCACCAGTCACTCCTCGGAAACCCTATACAGGGTCGCTATGGGTCGGAACTGACTCGATGGCACTTCACAACAACAACAACAACTAAACCCACTGTTGTCAAGTTTGTCCCAACTCATAGCAACGCTGTAGGACAAGTAGAACTGCCACATAAGGTTTCAGAGACTATAAATCTTTAAGGGAAGAAAACTGTCTCATCTTTATCCCATAGAGCTGCTGGCTGGTGGGTTTGAACCGCCAGTTGGTTACCAGCTGCGTGATTAAGCATTGTGCCACCAAGACTCCACAGATCCTGAAATTACTTGAGGATGAGAATAGTTGGAGTTCATAAAATAAATCTCTGGTTGCCCATGAAAAGGAAGCTTTGCAAGCAAAGCTATTTGAAGCTGTAGACCTAAGTCATGCTGTCAAATGACAGCAGATGCAAACAGCAGAGTTGGGAATGGTTCTGGGCTCTGATGAGGTTAGTGTTCCTATGGCTTCAGTGGAGAGTCCACAGAAATAGCTTCATTACAGCAATTCCCAATGGTTCAACCTAGGACATACAGGTATGTACACATTTCCCTCCTGCTACACATTCATCTGCTTTGCAGAAAGCCACAAGCTACAAGCCACCTTTAAAACGTAATGTTTATAAAGCAACTTCACTTAAAAGTAGCACTATGTATTTTTTAACGTTAGGTTTTACGAGTTTTTTTTTACACTTTCACAATAGAAACGCTGATAAAACCTAAAATCACTGTCATCTGCAGACTCCCCCACCCTACCCCAAGCTGCTTAGTGAGACTGAGTGAAAAATTAAAGTCATAATGAAGAATCAAGCCATTTTTGAAATTAAATAAACAGAAAATCACACAGATGCTCCACGTTATATTTGTAAAGAAAGCTTTCAGTCTCTCCTCTCCATTTCTCAGGGCTCTCATATTTCTGATTTTTCTCATCACCGGTTTCTAGTACTGGAAAATCCCAAAGCTGTTTATCTTCGTGCTCCCAAATCCTAATCCCAAACATAAATATTATCAGATATATGCTTTTGGGCAGGGAGATGGAGGGTTATATAGATATATTTCATTTCCTGATAGAATTTAATTCTTTGAAGATATTACCTTATTTTTTATTAATTAGCTGAAATTTTATAATGCACATTTGGCAGACAGAATGGGCAAAGTCCAGTGAAATATCAGAAAGAAACGAAAAAAAAAAAAAAATCAGCCTTTCCTCTCAGTCTAATATGGGGAATCTCATCTCCATCACTTAGTTTGATGTGTAAAATCAAGTAGAGAAGCTCCTTAGAGAAGGATGGAAGATCTATCCCTTCCACAGACTCAGCACCATCACTACATATCACCATCCTCCCCACCACCAGCACATCACAATCTCCTCTTAATGCTAGGCTCCCATCCTCACCCAGGTGTGTCTCCTTCGCTCCTGGCCTTGACTGGCGACAGGATACAAGGAGAAAGGAGCTTTTTTCAGCACCACTGTCTGTCCCACCACACAACGGGCAACAAGTGTGAGCAGGGTCACCATACGTCCTGCTTGTTGGCTACTCCCCAGGGTTGGCCTTCCTTCTCTGCTTGAAACTCCTTCAAGGTGCTCCAAATACATACCGCCCAAACAGATGCAAAAACCCCAGGGCGGGAGGACTAGGGAGCGAGAGGATCAGGGGAGAGGTCTGCCACAAACCCCAGATTTTAACCCAGCACCTTAGATGGTAAGGTGGAAAATGTCCAGTTGTTTCGCGCGGAGTATTTGCAACCCTCCAGGGACGGGCTGGGGCAGGAGAGCGTGGGGCTGGAAACAGAGGGTGGTGGGGGGGCGGGGGTGTTCCTGGGGGTCTCACCTCCTGCTCTATAGCCGAGTCCCTCCCGCGAGGCGCTGGAAAGCATGAGGCATGCAGCATTCAAAATGTTTTTTTGAAAAAGACGGACTTGAAGCTTTTTTTTTTTTTTTTTTTTTTTTACAAACACGCCATTGTACTCACTTCTTATTCAGAGACGGGCTGCACGCTCCGAACTGCACGGGCAGGCATTTTCCCTGGCTTTGTTTTACAAGGTGGGGAGAGCGGGGCTGGACGCGGGTGGGGGGGAGCGTGAGAAGAAACGAAATCGCGGGAAGGAGGGGACACCGGCAGGCTGGGCAGAGGGCGAGGCCGAGGCCAAGTTGGGCTTGGGCGCTGCCGCCCCCGC